GTGCTGAGAAAGGATCGAAGCAGGTTCGTCCATCTCTTCATCACGAGCGTGGAATCCATGACAAACAATGTCAATGCTTCGTCATGGTTCACGTTGGTTGGTCCTAAAGGTGGTAGACGAGGAATTTCATCGGTGTTCATCCATCTGAGTGTTGTTGACATAAGCCCCGAGTAGACATATCAGCAGGCTTACGCCAAATCTTGCGACGCCAATGAAGCGTTTCTGTCTTTCAAGAGCCTTGTAGGGATAGACCGCTTCGATACAGGCATTTATGCTCAAACGTAATGTCAGAACGTCCGCAAAGCAGGCGAGCAATGGACGACGCCCAACGAAGACCTACTCCATCGTCCAGCCCACTTGATGGTATGACGGGTGAGTCTCAGATCCATTTGATGATTTGGACCTTGAAGGTGTACTTGGCACTGTTTGCATCTGCAGGAAGTGTCGAAGTTTGTAGGTGTAGAGCGAGAATCGTCGGATTTCGCAGTCATCGTCGAGGTCGATGAGAGTAAGGATTGGTTTTCGCGCTAGCTTAGACTCGAAGCTGGATGTATGCGTCTTTGGCAATCTTCATGGTGAGTAATAGGTTGGGTAGCTGAAAGCTATTGTCATTTGTTAAAAAAATGCCACTACGCTAAAGCTAGTGTAAGATCTTTTCGAGTGTTTTGAGTTTGAGAGAATGAAAGTATGAGAGGATTAGGAAAGCTATGAAATACTAATCAACGAGTGAGATCTACAACAAAGGATCGTAGATCTGAAACCCGCGGGAGACTGTAGAGTGTGTAAGAGTAGGTTTGCGGTAGCAATCTACATCACTCCACGATCCAAAAACGGAACGCGTGGAAGATTCGTTAAGCTTTTATCTATGTAGCGTGGAAGTACTCCACGCTGGCTAAATATCTGAGCGATGTTTCATTCATCAACCGTAGTATTGCTAGCGACGTCATTGTAGAACCCTGTCTACAATGACTATTCACGAGAGACCTCAGTCATGAGTCGCAACTCAAACACCTATCTAAGATCAGTCGCGAATAAGAGCTAAGAGCCGTGCATTGCAATTTGACTTAGCTATCACTGTGTCGGCCAATTGGGATTTGTCCCAATGAATGCCGAGTAATTTTCTTGCGGGAGCGGAGGCTCATAAATCTGTAGCCTCCTTGCTTATTTCCGCTCGTTCCATACAGATGGCCGCCTTTGTCGCGTCCTACCATGCGTGTTAAGGGGCGAGTCTTCTTCATACACCTGGCAGTAGTCTCGAACTGCAGGCTTAGGTGCTTTTATAGTCCTGGGCTCTCTCCATCATTATCATACGGGGGCGCATTGTCTCGCTGACCCCAGACTTACTTGGGAAAGTACAGTCAACTGTTTGACGACTTGTAACACCAAGTTGTCGGTTATATATTTTTGGCTGCGTGGAAACGGTAGGCTATGCCGGACAGCTCGTGTCCTTTCCTTGACTACCCGGATTCTACGTTCGATCTCGGTACGTGCTCGTTAGCACTGGCAACGTTCACTACCGGTCCACCCGGCATTGCCATGATTGTGTTGGACAGATGCTCAAACTCATTGTCCACATGAATGGTCGTGACTTCTAAAACCACGAGCCTTGTAGAATCGAATGGACCTCCTGAACTGCCTCTAGGATGGTCTCTTACAGCTGTCCTTTTGGGCAGGTGTCTAGATTGTTGTAAAAATCGATTTACGGCTAAGCGTTAACAGGAACGGAATCCCTGCCACAAGAAAATGTCCATCGCTAGGAAACACATCCTTGTGTAATTGCAAAAAGTCTCTGGCACTTTCAATTGCATTCCTGCCACTGCGTTCGTTTTCGTTCGATGTGGTCTTGCCTTTCAACGCTCCAATATTCTTGCCCCATATAGCTTGTGCGTGTCGATGTCTTCGACGGTCACAGGGCAGTTTGCGATTGATTGCTCATAATCGCCCACGAGAAATCTTTAAATCGATGTATAGACGAGTTGCTTATATGCAGCTTGCCCTTGATGCGCTTTAACTTGTCGTTTGCTGAAGCCTTCCTTATTTTCTGGCGACAGTACTCACAAGCGTGCCTTCCCTTTTTCCTAGGGTCATGAACGTGTAATCCTTCACTGTTCATTTCGTATACTACGTCCGTAGGCCTGGTCTAATAGACTGTGTAGGTTCCTTCGGGTACATCATAGACGGTATGTTGTCAATTCTTGCGGACATGCTTAACAGATAAGATGTTCTGATTCCTCTTTCATCAACCATACTCTCTGTTTGTGGCCAGCTACTTGGCTGTGTTCTGGACCTTCAGCTCTGCCTCCTGGTACTCTGCATCTGTAATTGGACGATCGGTTTCCTGATGTCGGTAACCATGTCTTTATTACAGAATAGATCCAACGTGGACTGGTTGTCCAGTAGTGGATCCTCTCTCATATCTATGTCGTCCAATCTTTTTGTGTGGGCGACTATGCCTTGCTTAGTCGGTTCGTCTTCGTTCCGTCCGTCTTCGTTCCGGCCGCGAACAGCGGTACGTCGAACGTAACGAAACCTTTCTCGACTTTCTCTGTCATCTGACGCTCGTGATGTCAGAGTCGGCATCATCCTCTCTCAGGGTTTGTCAATGCTGTCGTCATTTTATCTTGCAGTTTGCTGTAGTAGCTAGGGTTCTCCATTGAACGCTACTAGAGCTATTCTTGCTCGACGTGCTTGACTTCGCTACGCTTGCTCGACCTACGACTTGTCATCGTCGTCTTTGTCTTTATCTTTTACTTTATTTTTGTCAGGACAGTGCGATGCTGGATGTCCTTTATCGTGGCAGGAAAAGCATTCTTTCTCTTTCCAGTATTCTTTATCATAGCTCGCAGTTTCCGCAGCCTTTTTCCTCTGCCACCACCCCGTCCTCTGCCGCCTTGTGCTGTCTGAGCGAAGGAGCTTTCGTGGGAAGTGGACTGTCGTGGGATGTACTCTTGGTGTGTTTGTCCAAGAGTGTAATACCTCATGTAACGTATGGGGATATTTATCAGTGCCTTTGGCAAAGTCTCCCTCAGTTTCTTTTTAAGCTTGGTATTTTCGGCTGAACTATTTGTTAAGAAGATGTAACTATAGTACCGTTCCTCTGCGTATGCCGAGACTGTCTTCTGGTCTTCGACTCCCAGTCAGCGTATTCGGTGCCTGGGTGGAGTAGTTTGGCCGTATGCAGCAGCGCTGCGTCGTGTAGCTTGGAAATACCCACGGTTTGCAATGTCCTTCTTCGTGGTAAATTGCTCGTGGTATTCGGGAGCGGTGAGGCTCCCTTGGGGAAATTCAACAGTTGTTTTTCCAGTTGGATAATGTGTGGTACACAAAATTATCATCGGTCTGGCCATGATCGTCTTATGGATCATTTTCGTAGCTCCATGGGGTCGCATCTTAACAGGACGTCATCGTAGTCCGTGTTTTGCTTCATCTTGTCCTTTAAAGTCGGGTGCACTGCCCTAGGATCAAAGTTGAAAGCTTTGCCTCTTATTTTCTTGTATTTTTGCCAACCTCGTAAGGTGGGTCTTCATAGCCCTCCATACTCTGCTTTCTCTAGCCCCCGGAGTTCCTCTTCCGGTGGGTCGCCTATGGCTGCCGTAAGGTCGGCTATTCATTAACGAGTTGTCTTTTTCTATCGTTAGTTGTGCGTAAGCTACCGAGATCGGGTCATTGGTGACTCGGTTATCTCTGATTCTAGTAGCGTAGGCTTGCTTGGTTTGCCGATAGGAGACGATTATTTTTCGCTCACGTCGTACCTTCGCCTTTTCAAGCCTGTTCCGGTCTCCTCTGAGTACACCGGTGCTACCACACTGTCTGTTTCAGGTTGCGTAGCTCATTGCTCATGTCGTCACCCATCGTTTGTCCAACGTGGATGACGATCTTCTCCCATTGTGCGTATCATCTGTCTGTCCGTTCCAGATCCAGTTGTACCAAAGTTAAACACATGTTGTCGAGGGCTTTGCATGAACTTTCTGCTGGTTCGACGATGGGCTGGTTCTTCCATGCCCTCGTGCTTTGCGCCTCCTCGGCCACCTCTTCCTTTACCTCTACCGCTCATTGTTATGTACGGTAGGTGGACTATTTCAATTCGTTTTTTTTGTTGACTAGCTCTTTAATTTAATTCTCGTTCCGACTACTTATTCGTCTTTTGGCTATGGGGCGATAACTTCAATTTATACTCCTGGCTAGGGGTGTTAAATCTATTTACTAAAGATCTTGCAAGGAGACAGTAACAACTAAGAGAGCTTAGAGCAACTAACATACTACTGAAAAAGTGGGTTCCTTGGCTTTTTTCTACTGTGCATAAATTCTAGTACAGAGGACAGGTTGAATCCCTAATCGCGAATCCCCAACAGTCAATAGCATTGGCTCTATCCACAGGCACTGGACAGGACTTCTCGTAGTGGTCCATTCCAATCCACTTTTGGGAGTCATGTTTGAACCAGTCTGGGCTGTTCGGGGAAAGTTGATGTCCCAGAAGTAGTATCCTCTGGGTCCATACACCGTGTTCCTGTTGCCATGTTACTGAATACCCTGAAGTGGAGGTTCCACGGTGCCACTCAACAGCTTCCTCTACAGCAGCTTCCTCTACAGCTTCTTCTTCTCCCCTTCCTGGGTTGGGATTGATCCAAGAGATGCCAGGGCGACAGTTTCACAGAAAAGTTGCTTGGGGGTGGTGCAGTGTAGGATGGAAGCATGTTCTTTGAAACCATTGGTGTTGAAACATTGTACACAAAACTGGACAGACCTGACTCTGTAGGTGTTTGCTTGCCAATCAAATCCGTGCTCAACCGTCCAAGTTGATTGCCGGTTTGCTTGCCAATCAAATCCGGGCTCAACCCCAATAAACGCGAAGCTCCTTCCATCCCAAGTGGGTCAACTTGGGTATCCGCATCAGTACTTCCAAAAATATCCTGCATCCCATCACCCTGCATCCCAAGTGGATCAGGGACGCCAAATGTATTAGACAGTCTAGAGGGCCCGGTTGGGGCGTCGAATTAGGTCTAGGAGCCCCATACAGTGGACTTTGCGGTGGATGCCACTTTAGCTGGTTGTGTCTTGGTGGATGACTTCTTGTTGGTGGTGGACTTGGTCTTGGTGGCCGTGGTGGTGGGCGTGGATGACTTGGCCGTGGCCGTGGCCGTGGATGACTTGGACTTCTTGTGGGCTATGGGGGCGGACTTCTTGTGGGCTATGGGGGCGTCTTGCGGGCTATGGGGGCGGTGGCGGTGGGGGCGGTGGTGGCGGGTGGCGGTGGAGGCGGCCGATGACTTCTTGCTGGGTGGGACTTCTGTGAAGATACCTTGTTTCATTTCCTTGGCTTCTTGACATTGGCTGCATTGGCTGCATCGTTCATTTCCTTGGGCTTCTTGACATTGGCTGCATTGGCTGCATCGCGCTTCCTGGCATTGGTTGCATCGCGCTTTCTGGCACTGGTTGCATCTGCATTGGCATTGGTTGCATCGGCATTGGGCTTTGCAGGAACCATTCTGTCAGGAACGATGATTTCGATTTTATGAATGCGATTGATGCTGCTGTTTGCTGCTATTATGTTTTTATGAATGCGATTGCTGCTGCTGTTTGCTGCTATTATGTTTTCGCTGGCTGGGAGCTGTTGGGTTTCGCTGCATGGGAGTGGTTTCGTTATGGGTTTCGATGGGAGTGGTTTTGCTCTGATGGGTTTCGCTGTGAGTGGTTTCGCTGGGAGTGGTTCTGAGTGGTTTCGCTGGGAGTGGTTCTGAGTGGTTTCGCTGGGAGTGGTTTCGCTGGGAGTGGTTTCTGAGTGGTTTCGCTGGGAGTGGTTTCGCTGGGAGTGGGAATGGGCGTGGGTGTAGTAATCCATCTAGTCAAGTCTAATCTATCTCCTAGTGTACTACAATCGGCAGCAAACAGTCTACTAAATAACAACAATCAGCAAACAGTCTATACTAAATAACTACAATCATAAATCGAGATAGGCTGCAAACATGAATGTCCAGGCTCAATTGGACGATCGTATATCTATTGGCGATTTGTCAATGGGTTTAATACACATGGATGTTCAAGCTATTGCAAATGAAGTCCTCCAGGATAATGAAAGCGAACACTTCCAACCCTTCCCTGTCTATCCTCTTACCGACGTCAAAAGACTTCTCCTTGCAATTGGCCTACCCAATGTTCTTGTTGTGACTCTTGTAGCCAACTACAACGTCTTCAATGTTTGTCGTTTGTTTTACTACCCTTGGAACTTCTCTGGACCAATTCCGCCACCTGGCTTTCACGAGACCCGCCGACGCCGGATCCAGCAAGAGACTCAGTTGAGATTACTGACCGGGAGCTTGTTTTGATGCTTTGCTTGTTTGTTTCTTTCGTTGACTCACACGGGAACGACAACACCCCCCTGAAAGAACAGGCAAACAAAATGGTTTTAGATTTGGGTGTTTACAATCAGCCTCCTGGGCGGATCCGGGCGGTTATTGATATCCTCCACCAAAAGAAGCAAGAGATCAAACAGAACATGCGAACCCATTACTCACCAGATACATACACCAATTCGATGCCTATGCACAATCTGTGGCCGCGCATCCAGAGAAGGAGGAACTCTATTTCATTCTGTTGCATGCCCACAGCGGCTAACTACCTTCTTGGCATTCCCACACAATCAGAATGTACGAAACCAGGTCGATGCATTCCTACTGGCCCGCAAGAATCTTTACCTGGACCTACTTGACCCGACCCAGGGACAACAGCGCGAAAACGATCGGCGAGCTGTCCAGGCAAAGTTCTTCCCTCCTGCAGCTTGGGAAATGGATGAAGAATGATTCAAATATATAATAGTTAGTCCAGTCTGGTCGATCACAATCCCTTATAAAAAATAGACATTCTCACCTGATTAATCAATAGCGCCTGATGCAATAAGCGCCTGAAGCAATAAAGATGAGGAAGAAGCAATAAAGATGAGGAAGACGATGCAATGAAGCAATAGCAAAAGAGCAATAGACGTAGCAATGAAGATGAGAATAAGAATGAAGACGAGAAGAAGAGAGAAGCAAAGTACCATGATACAAGAATAGAGGATACAAGAATAGGCAGGGCAGTCGTGGGACGAACGATGGGACGAACAATGAGGATGGGGACAACAATGGAGGATGGTGCTGGCGGAAAAAGGACTGGAAAAAGGACAGTGCGTTGAGTGCTGGAAAAAGGACAGTGCGTTGTAGTCATATTGGTGCTTTATTGTGAAGGACAATGCGTTGTAGTCATGGTGCGTTGTAGTCATGTTGGTGCTTTATTGTGAATGCTATGCAGTGGGTTTTCGAATTTCTTAGTGCTAAGTAATATGTGGGATGTGGACCAAAGATTGGCTGGAGCACTTGGCTGGAGCACTTCTTAATCTAATCACCGAACTAAGAGTCAGCCGGTTGGCAAATTTGCCAACCGGCTGACTCTTTCTCTTGAATTATTAAAGATTGGTTGGAGCACTTGCATATCACCGAACTAAAAGTCAGCCGGTTGGCAAATTGCCAACCGGCTGACTCTCTCTCGCATTTTATTTAACACCCAAAAAACCATGGGAACTGTGGCCACTTTTTATCAATTTTTGAGTAACAAGAACGCAGTAACAAGAATGGCCACTCAGGTTGGTTGGTTGGCCACTCATAAGGACCACTCATAAGGACGACGACGACTACAATCTACCACTAATAGTAAACTACAGTAACTTGCGTACCCAACTTGCAATGGCCGGAGGTGCCCTTGAAAGAAGAATGGCGGAAGGTGCCCTATTAGCCCCCGAAGAAGAAGATGATACAAAGAAGAATGAGATGAAAAGATGGAAGAAGATGTAGATGATGGTTCCAGTGGTTCAAGAAGCTACGACGATTTGAATGATGAATCCTTGGAGGAGGAAGGGCAACAGGCAAGTGAGGACCGCGTTCAGCGTCTTCGAGACAGCATGGAAAGGATGGCAACACGGCATCAAGTTATCTTCCCTCAAAACGAGATAAGAAACGTCGTGATTTGGAATTGATTGCACAGAGGGACATGAAACGGCACAAGTGGCAGGTTGAAGCCGAAGCGCGAATCCGAGCGGCTTCTCAGTTGGGAGAACAATGGGACGACTTCCGTATGGCTATCCTCTCCCTCTCCCTCAGCCGCAGAAAGGTCACACCGTTCCAACAAACGTTTGGGTTAATGATTATGATTGCTTGCGTCATGAAGTTTGACATATTTGACTTCATTTGGGGCAACATGTCAGTTCACGGACAGAGTTGACGATGCCTATCGAAAAGCTGGAAAACCTCCGATGGAAAGTGCCACACCTCGGAAATCCGGATAGTAGCATTAGAACTTTTGCAATGACATGCTACGGGACGGTCTTCAACGGATACCGAGATATGCAGGACCGAGTGCGAACGGTTTGTGAAACAGACGGGATGGCCTGTACGGTCCCAGACCTTCCTACCGTTCCAGAATTCTGGCAGGGTATTCTAGACGGAAGAAAATATTTGCATAAGCTTCTTTGGACGTTCAAGGACTCCCACAAGAGAGATGTTAGAGCCGGTGTTACCGATTGGGTCGTTGAAGTGCTCATGCCTATCACTCAGTTTACAAAGTTCAAAGAAGCGATGGACCGAAAGGTGGAAGAAGGATTGCAAGAAAAGATGGCGTCCCACGGGCAGACGCGACTCGAAGACCACTTCAATCGCCCCCAAAAGAAGTCGCCCGCCAGGACCAAGAAGTCGCCCGCCAGGACAAGAAGTCGAAGAAGAAGTCTCCTCCAGTCACACAGAAGAAGCAACAGCAAGAGAAGAGGAAGTCAAACACAGCCTCCCCTCCCTTAGCCTCTCCTGCCTCAAGGAAGAAGCAGAAGCGTGGTGGCAATAAGATGCGACAGACAAAACTCCACGAAACCCTTCCCTTCCATGGAAGACCCGATTCCGGATCTCCAAACGGCAAATCAGCTACGAACGGCAAAGCAGCTACAAATGCAGCTACAAAGGCGAACTACAAATGGCAAAGCAAACTCAAATGGCAAAGCAAACGAAGCAACAGTACCAGCGCCAGCAGCGAAAGCAACAGCAGCAGCAGCAGCGCAGCAACAGCCGACACGACAGCAGCCGATAATCCATCCGCCGATACATCCAACACGAAAGCAGCAGCCGCACGAAAGCAGCAGCCGACAATCCATCCGCCGACAATCCATCCAATCCATCCGCCGACACAGCCGACAAGACACAGCCGACAAAGACACGCCAACAAAGACACAGCCGACAACAAAGCAGCTACCCATCCTGCAACCCAACGTTGGTCCCAACGTTCGTCCCACGACTAAACCAGGAGGAATCTGAAGCTGCTTCCGATTTGTTGAGCTTAGCACAGGTGGAAACAGCAAAGTCGGACAAGAAAACACCAGCGTTACAATCAACACCACAATCAACACCAGTGGACAACGCAACACCAGACAAGAAGGCGCAAGCGGCTCCTTACAAGAGAGCAGCACGG